AGAGAGAGAGAGAGATCACACCTATTGATGGGAATGAGGAAACACCCCCCCCCCTTAGATAGGCCCTCAAGGCCTAGGGCATGCCAACTTCTAATAGGACTCAAATTTGACCAAGGAATTTTAGATAAACTGTGATTTGAAGAGTGAATTAAATCTGTGAGTTGAAGAGTGAATTAAATCTTAGATCAACCATCATGATCAAGGAGGAATCCTAGAACCATCATCCCTCAGATGATTGTACCATATCCACTTCTTTTCAAACTAGAATTGGATCTTGCAGTCCCACTTAATTAGGACTCTTTGTCATAGAAACCCTTTTAATTTCATTAGAAATCTTTAGTGAAAGTAGATGATCTAATTCAAAACTAATTTGATTAAATCATAAAAAACCAAATCAAGATAATCTTTTAAAAGATTTCCTCTTAACAACTTAATCCATAATAAATAAATTAAGGACATGGGCATCCCTCACTATGCTAGGATGTGTAGGTGATTTGGGGCCCACGTCCTACAAACATGTGGGCCACCAACGTGCACATGGGTACCACAATGCCCCTGGAGCTTTTAGAAATTACAATAATGCCTTTAGGGTTTTAAGCAATAAAATAATTTTAAAAGTTTTTAGAAAATATTTAAAAAATCACAAGAGCATGAATATAGTAGGATAATAATATTTTTAGTTTTCCAAAAATTCTAAATCTCATTTAAAACAAATCTAGAAGTGAGTTGGTTCCAATGGGTTAGGAATAAGTGACACTATCCTTATTAACAATCATGCTAGTTGTGTTTGAGCTAGTTCTTGCTTGGACTCTATCCTGTCTCTCTAAGGTATTGGTTTTTCCTATTGCACTGGGTTGATGTTTCCAAGTTTGTTTTATGTGCTTGAATTATGCTTGGATTATACTCTTTACTGTGATAGTTCCTGCTTGGACTCTTATGTCTCACCGAGTTGTTGGCTTTTTCTACTACATTAGATCAATTATTCCAAGTAAAATGAAGCAAAAGAACAACAAATACATGATGAGGGGTAGATACAACCCTCCTCACCGAAGCTACAGTCCTTCTCCTCCTCCTCAATGATGATACAGTCCTTGCAGGAAGCTTCGTTCTAGACGTAGTCCTTCTCCTAGAGGGGGTTACAGTCCACACAGGCACCTTCGTTCTAGACGTAGCCCCTCGCTGTACAGACGATGTCTTCACCAGTGAGGCTATAACTTTTATTCCTCTAGTTACCCCTGAGATACCAGTTATTCAAATCCCACCTACTGGAACTTCAATGAGCTACACACACAACATCCAACCATTAACTACCACCACAGAGAATCTACGAATTACAGCCATTCTTTGAACCCCACTAGCAGTCACCACCACCATCTTCAATGTCCAGCTTCCAACAAACAACAGAGTCACCCTCAGATAACCCCTCGTAAATACCCCAATACTAGGAATGTCAATCACCCCCATACCCAATACTTTCAACCCAACCACCGTTCTGTTCATCAAGTTAGACCACCTCCTCCCCCACCTCCTTACCTTAAGCCTAATCCCCCCATTCTAGCAGAAGTTACTGAGGGTCATCCCCCATGTCTTAAACAACCATACAGCCCCCCTTATGCCTCCCCATCAACTTTACCGACCCACCCTAATCAAAACCCGACTGCACCTCTCCCTGGTAATGAGCACCCTCCTACCATATATCCCAAAACCTTTGCCCAAACAGTAGCTTCCACTCTGGAAAACACTTTCCAGCAACCGTGGCAATCGCAAAATAGTGAGAAGAACTCCACCGATTATCATATCTCGGTCCATAACCTTGAACCTTACATTTGGTTCTCCCCTAACCGTGATAGTGCAGAGTGGCTATCATGTCTAGAAAATTCCCTTATAGGCACTTTCCAACCTCAGCGCAATGACATTAAAAGGATTAATCTGTGGTTACAGCTTGTCTTCAATAACCCCCATGTCGTTTGCAGGCTTCTCTCAAATGGTAAGTATCTCATATCCTTTCCAGACAAATTTAAACCGTTATTCCTCCCAATCCTACCTTAAGCTTTAAAGGTGGGATTTTATCCTTACAAAAATGGAATCCTTCATTTGAAGCCCAACAAATCAATAAAATTTGGATTACATTAGAAGGTATTCCCCTCCATCTTTGCTATACTAAGGCCTTGGAAATCCTAGGCAATAGCTGTGGACAATTCCTTTCTGTCCATTGGAAGGATTTCTTCCTCTGGGAAAAATTGTCATCTTAATATCTTCTGATGCAGCTGACCTAATCCCTAGTTCTATGACAATGCACTTTCATGGCCTCTCTTACAAAATTTTTGTATCAGTTTAGGGCTTGGATAGCAATGATCGTCCCCAGTAGGACCATGAAGGTTGAACTGTGGTCCAGCGAAGATCTAGTGGACCCTCCCGTGCTCTGGGGCCCCCATCTGCTGCTCCAAAGTCCGATAGGGACCACAATAGCAATTTGCACCAAAACAAAAATTTGGGATCAAGGTCTATCAAAACTGCCTGCCCACACCATGGATCTTAATCACCGTCTACCCAACAGTGTTGCTTCCACTAACACTTTTCCTCGAGATTGCCGCCCTCAATCTGACCGAGGAAAGGCACCTTTCACTGATCATTCTCAAAGATGTCAGACCACAGGTGTCCCGTCATCTTCCTCCTGTCTATCGCCTCGTCAAAAGTATTCCCATGAATACTTTGACATTGTTACCCCCCACCGTCCCCGACATTAAATACCTTGGGTACGGTGGCACTATCCGTTGTACCTTCTGCCTTGCTTGCCTCTTCACCATGCATGGTGGCTCTCACCCCTTTCAAGGCTTCCTCGAAGCCTGTGCCTTCGATTGCCACCCATCCTTCATTCGCTCCCGATTTCTCATTTTGTCTTAGCCGCCGTGGGATTAGCGCCCCCCAATGAAGCGAATCGATCCAAACCAATCGACGATTCGTCCGTCGTCAGGTCCTGATAAACGATAGGCGGCCGGCTTTGCTCATGGTAGAAGAAGAAAGGAAGCGAAGGGCACTCCTTCACAGACAACACATCCAATCTTCCAAAGGGCTCAGAGTGGAGCCCAGTGCCTGCAACAATTAATGGCCCTAGTCTGCCCCCCTCCTGTGCCATCGTCACCCCTCTTCATCCGCCGCCTTTGCCAGCCCCAATTCCCAACAATCTCTAGGTGTCAGCCCCGATGCCTCATTATCTCTCCTTCTCACCCTATTCATTATTCAATCTACCTCCAAATGCTTCTCCCCACTAACCCCCATCCATCATCTGAAGATCTGGAAAGCTCCTCCACTCGTCTCAACATCCAACCTGCTACAACGTGTCCTAATCACCCTTGGCTCCCTCGCCCCCCCCTCGCTTTCAACTTCTACAGTCTCCCCAGCTCCAAATCACTGTCTTAATATCCCTAATGATAATCAAGATCACATTGCACCTATACCTAACCAAGCTTGCTCTTGCTCCTTTCATATACACGCCTCTACCAATCTCCCAACTCTCCACAATTTAACCCATCACCTTTATCCATTGTTCCTCCCCTACAATCCTCCCTTACAGAGCTCCACTGCTACACTTCCCCTTCAAAAATGCCTCGCAGGTAGAAGCAGAAACCAACATGTCCAGGCTACTTTCATTGGCAGCCGACCACGGCCCTAAGATCTCTCCCCCCCATTAGATGAGCTTGTGCCCATGCCTCTAGAAATGCGACTTGCTCTAAATGCAGCCCAACATTAGATGGTCGATTGCCACCATGCATCCCTCCCCTTAATTTTTTCTTCCCTGAACCTTGTTGCCCTTCCTCACATCGGCAGCCTAAACATTCCCTGATTCACGACCCCTACCTCCCAACTTCCTTTTTTTCCAGAACCCTGTTGACACCTCATCTCTTACTAAGGGTCTGATTTCAAACTCAGACATCCAATCCCAACATCAACTGATTCGTTAGAGCTAGAAAGAATTCATAGAGGTGAACCTCTCTTGACTGACAC